TTTGTTAATGCCTAGCTCAATGCACTTTAGTACCTCTATATTCTTATAGATCTTTTCTTTTTTCTTTTTTTTTTTTGTTGTTGTTTTTACACTACTTTAGTTAAAAAAGCAGCCATCAAAAGAGCACCAGAAAGCATTCCAGATGTTGTGCCCTTGAGGAAGCGAACGACACCCATGAACCCTGCACTTGCAATACGGCGGAATCACACAAACAATCTAGTTTCTCAGCGACCGTACAGGGACAGGGTGATTCACTTACTGGCACTGAAGAGTTACACGAAACCAGAGCTGCTTGCTTGCTTGCAGAGAGATGGTGTCAACCAAAAGGACAGGGATTCCCTTGGAATTATTCTGAGAGATGGTGTCAACCAAAAGGACAGGGATTGCCTTGGAATTATCCTTCAACAGGTGAGATCATGGAGTATGTGCCAGCATTTTTTCCCTCCTTCTGTTCTTTGAATCATAATTTTGAGGAGTGTTACTCCAGTATTTAAATTAGAAAATAATAAACAACCTACGTAATGCTCCCCATTTAAGTTTTTCAATCAATTGTATACTGAAGGTCAACATGATGAAAGGAAAGAAAGATTAAAAAATTTTGAGGAATGTTGTTTTACTAGAACGGCAGGCAATAATTAACTATACTAGCTTTGTTAGTCCTAATGTCTTATTTTTTCCTCTCTCTTTTACTTAGACTGCTTAACTGCTTGGTTGGGAGAAACTGACCATGAGTTCTCTTGAAGGTGTGAAGTAGTACTTAGTATTTCTTCTGATGAATTTATGAGGGGAGAAGTTTGGTAATCACATAAGTTAGCATAGGTTTGAATTTAGTTGGTGATCTGTGAATGGTACTTGGTTTTTCTTGGTACCTGTTAGAATTACAATCCCGGGAAGGGTTTTCCAGCCAAATTGTAAATGAAAAAAGGTTGTGGTCCGATTTTTGAGCATAGTGTTTCTTTGCGATCATGTGAATTGTGTTTTTATCTTACTTGAAAGCTTTTTTTATTCAGTAGCTTTCCCAGTGCTCCTTGAGTTAAGTCCCACTTGTATTTCTTTATCATATCCATGAAAATTATTGGTAAGCCTGTAATGTTATGGGTGACATTTTGAAGCTGTGTGTTCAAGAGTGTCTTAATTTTCTACTGAAGCAGTTCAGAAAAGGCTTCTTAAAGTATCGTAAGATTCCTCCCTTACTTTTTGAATGCTCCCTGTACCCGTAGACTGCGGCTGAATTATGCACATGTTAATACGTAAAGTAGGAGTATTTCCTGTTTATCAAGGAAAAAAGTGTTTTGGAACCTATTAAAGTGCGTAAAAATCAACATTTATACAGCTTTGGTTGGTCCTACACTGAATTTTAAAAACCTCATTCCTTGAATCCGTTAAGCGTTGCTTTGTTTGCCCAGTGCAATGATAGTTTATTTCACCCTGAAGACACACACAATTTAATGAGAGCCATGTTCTTATCTACAAACTGTAGTAGTCGTTTTATACTTTAAGTTGATCATAAAGTCCCAAAAGCTGCACTCTCTAGAGGGTGAAAGGTGTAAAAATGTTCTCCTTTCCCATTGTGCTTGACAATGTTTAAGCAGACTTTCTTGGAGTCTGTTTCCTGCAACTGGCTTGAGCTACCTCAGGGTACTGGCTTGCATTCAGAAATCGTCAGGTTAGCAGCCCTACACCCTGAAAAGCCTTGCTCATATTTTTCTTAGCTTCATAATGAGGTTTTTTTGTACAAAACTAAAATGAACAGCCTCATTTCTAAACTTTCTAAAATCTAATATGCACAGATTTGCTTCTCCTGGAATACAGCTTCAATTCTGTTTTTAACAAGTGGATTACTGCTCCTGGTTATCTTTATTGCTTTTCTTTGTTTTTTGAGCTGGGGACAGAGACATGCACACACCTGTGAATTAGCAGTATCTATCTATCATGTTTTGGAGGAGAAATAGCAAAGCTGCGAAAAGTGGTGGTGATGTGTTGACAGTTTATTCAGCATTTAGTGTCAGGCAAATTGACGGAGACTCTTTCTTTGAGTTTTTCTCTGAAACTCTGAACCGATGTCAGGTGATAAAGTCTAAACCAGCACTTCAGGCATCCATGGCCTCAAGGTTGTGCTAGCTCATTTTAACTTTTGGAGTATACTTTCTATTTTTCTTAAGGAAGATATAAACCCATTTTATTTTCAAAAGTACACAGTAAAGTATGCACATGACCTTCTCATGACAGTGGTTTGCTATAATGAACTCTGTGTCTGCAAAATTAAGAGTGCATCTGCACCTGCATACCTCTCCTGGAATATTTTAGCACTAAATCTTGTTTTCAAAACATAACTTGTTAGTTATGAGAGTAATGTTCTTTTTTTCTCAATTGGTAAAACTTCAGTATGGCTTAAAAACAATGGAACAGGTGAATAATTCATCTTTGTACTAAAGGAAGAAGTTTTATGCCGGTTGGGTTATTGCATGTGACTGTTCAGTAGAAAGCTATAGTTTCTTGTGGCTCAGGCACTTGCAAAGGACAAGCAATTCTGTTTGTCAAGACAAACGACAATATACTGTGGTCATTTATGTGATGATGGAAAACATGGATTGTTCCAGGCACAATCCGTGCTCTGCCATCACAGTATGGCTGTGTAAAACAAAAGAACAGCAGGGGGCCTCCTGAAGTTGAACAAATCTGAATTTGTATGTGGAAATAGTGTTCTTCAGCTCTGAAAAAAGAAAAAGAAATAAAAATAAAACGCTAGGCCTTTCAACGTATTTCATGCAGTGAATATTTAAAGTTTTGGTGTAGTTTGCCATGATTCTCAATGCTGTATTAAAGACAAGAAACCAGATACATGTTGCAGAGGGAGGTTTTCGTAGTGTACATTTCATACAAACTTGCAGCAGTTTGGGATTTTCTTACATCCAAATTTCTGTATCCCAGATTGGCCATATTTTTAAAAATTCCTGCTTATTACGTGAGAGCTACTTTGACCTTCACATCTGAAAAAACTGGAAAACTGGTGCGTGATTTCATTTTCAGCTTTGGTTTAGCTTTGCAGTACCAATCTTATTTCTGTAGTTTGCATTTAGATATAATGAATGTTTCTTTTCTTAAATGTCTCCCTGTAGGTAGCCAGCCTGAATACAAAGGATAATACTTACAGTCTGAAGAATCATCTGTTTAAAGATATTCAGAAAGATTGGCCTGGATACAACGAAACAGATAAAGGGTTACTGGAGTTGATACTTTCTACGTAAGTTCAGTCTCTAGGGGAAGGAAAATAGCCATTTAAAAACCTTTTTCTGGGAAATGAATGTCTGTGTACCCTATAATGAAAGAACTATGACATAGACATTTTGGCCTTGTAACCTGAAATGTTGGGTCATCCTAACAGAAAATTAAATTTGTCTGACATTGCCACCAGCGCCAGTATGGCATCAGCACCAGTCCTAAGGAATCTCCCATCACTTCTCATAAAGATTCTCCATCAACTTCTCAGGTATCTTGAATTTTTTTAACACTTTTTACAGTGTATTAAGATTTATAGCACTTTATATGGGTGCAAAAGCTATGATGTGAAGCACTAGTATTGTCTTTAACACATTAAAAACTGAAGCATTTATTTCTAATTAGATTCTTATATTTCTTAAGATGGTTGCACTGTCAAAGACTGCAGAAAACTTGTAGTCATGTGGCTTAAGAGCTGCTATATTTAGTGCTCTGTATTTCAGAATGTTCATTGAAATATTCAGGAAAAGAAACAATTCCTGTCCAGTTTTTACACAACCCTGTACTTTCTGTTTAATTACTTAAGTGTTTTGTAGTGCCTCGTAACTTGTTTATCTTGGTATGCAGGAAGGTCTTCTAGAGACAAGATATGTGTATATTTTTGATATATAGTTGCATGTATTCAAGGTTCTTTGTGATGTGGTAGTTATAATACATAAAATATGTGCAAACATCCTTGTTCTACTGTTTAAATATAAAGCTTATGAAAGCCTAAGGGGAAATTACAGTAGTGATCCTCTGCATTCCCCCAGCCTTTCAGACTTAAAATGCGTATGTCCTGTCCTCCTGTCGATACAAGAGGACCATGCAAACCCTTTTAGAAGAAGCGTGCAAACCCTTTTAGAAGCAGCTTGGAAAACTCTGCATAAAAAACATCACTTTAAGGAAAAGTCTTATACTTTCTGTGACTACAGCTGCCCTTCAGTACACGCAGTTGAAATCTGAAGAACACGAGAGCTTGTGTGTGATAAGCTGGGAAGTACAGAGAGTCCTTCACCACTGAGATACTTACATTTAAATAGAGGAGGGAGGGCACACCTCTCTTTTTACCCAACTTTCTTCCAGTCAATGGGTGAAATGGTGCAGGTCCCAGGGACCTTGCCTGCGTAGACACAGAATCTGGATTTATTTGAACAGAGCAGCACAGAGCCGTGCCTGGCACTCGTAGTCCAAGCTGCTGCTTGTATATCAGCAGGAGCAGGGTATGCTTGCTGGGTCAGAGGATGTGAACCAGCATTTCAGCTGGGGAACAGCTGGAACAGCCACTGGAGCAAAACTGTGGGCTTTACTTTTATCAGCTTTGCACTTCTTGCACTCTGATAAGCACGCTGCTGCGTACTTCTCGGGATTCCTTTAGTAAATTGTGTGGCTGTGTGACAGCAAAAGCTCACTCTTAACCTGGTATGTCCAAACTGAAATTGGTACCTAAACAGTAGCAACCTGACCTCCTCATTTTGGTGGAACCTTTGATAGGGATGCTGAAGAGAGTGTCTCTCTCCCAAAGCCTTTTCGCTGTAGATTTGAAGAACTTGCTAAACCATAAGATTAGAAACTAAGAATGAAATCAACTATGTATTTAGCAGCAGTACTTCCTTCTTTGACAGCTATTTTTAGATAAGAAAGAGGTGTTTTCAACAGTTGCCTGTTCAGAAATGCTCTTTTTTCAAAACATAATTCTGATTATTTTTTTTTTAATTGTTACAGAAACGGCTTTCAGATTCCAATTTTATCAGTCCTCTGAACAAAAAGCCGAGGATATCTTGCCTCACCAGTCAAGTCCACGCATCCCTCACTGGCTGCTTGCCAACCTCCGGTGAGAAAGTCACTGCCACCCCGCTGCTGCCTCCCCCCTCCACAGCTGCCACTATGCCTTCTCCTCTGCTACTCACTTTCACACTCCTTCCCACTTCCAACCTTCTGCAAACTGCCACCTCGAACTCCTCCAGCACCCCTGAGGGGCTGGGAACACAAGACTTGCCAATGTACAGCTTCAATCAAAATAGCAGTAGCATCTCTGAGGACCAGCAGCAAAAATATACCGCTCAGACTCCTTTGGGAATCCCAGCGCCTGCCGTGGTGACTGTGGAGCCTCCCAGGCCCACAGGCGAGGAGCATGCTGTGTTGCACCAAAAGCCCAGGGACATAAATGAGCATAAGGAGGACAAAAGCAAAACAAAGGACACTACAAGTGCAAGTGAGGAGAAGAAAGACCTTAGAAAAGAAGAAACAGCTGAGCTGAAAAAATCCTCCCATTTAGATTCAGGTGAAGGTATTAATATGCTGCTTTTCCTGACCACTACATGGGTAAACCTGGTGAAATGGGACTTAGTAAAACTAGGGACTGGAAATGTAAATGGTTTATTTTTTTCACTTGCTATGTATTAAGTACTTTGCCATCGTCCCTGCTTTTGGTCATGAAGAATCCATATTGTTTTCTGCTATTGCATTGTAACTGCTAGTCTAAAAAAAAAAACCAACACAAAACCTCCAAAAAACACAACAAAAAGCAGAAGCTGTTCTGCTGAAACCTTGTCTCAGGTTAGATTCATTTTTAAGAATTCACATTCTGTAGTATGAAGAAATCTTAACTGGATTGCTGTTGGGCAGAAGCTGATTAAAAGGAGGAGCTAGGTACTAGAAAAACACAAAGAATGGATTTTTTTTATTTGCTTGGTTTCAAGTAAATTGTCAGTTCCATGAAACTTCCTTCACTTTTTCTATCAGCAAGTTTTAAAGTCTACACGCTGCAAAAAACCAAAACCGTTTACACGCGTTTATTGCATACTAGTTGACTGAAACAGATAAATGTATTTCATCATGTATCACAACTCAAGGGTGATAGAACTCTGCCTTTTCATGGGAAGTCTAAAACCTACATAAACTGGCATGTGTTTACTAGAGTTTTGATTTGAACAGCGCTGTGGCTCTTCTCCCTCTCAGCCACAGAATTTATTACTTCAAAAGATGTAGAAATGATACACAGTTAAAAAGGCATTGAAAAGCTAAACAGAAATGCACAAAGAAGACTTGATTTCTTAACACACAGACAATAGGGCAGAGTTCAGTTCCTTTGTTACATCTGCGGTTTGTATGGTTTGAGTTTTGACTCAGAAGTCAGGTTTATCCCCTTCCTATGACAGCCCGGAGGCATCTTTAGAGTGTGCAGAGTGCCTCTTTGAAGTGTTGTTGTGCTTGTAGATAAAGGTGCTTTGAGATAGTCTTTTCACATTTACACAGTGCCCACATGGGATTGCTTTGAAAATATTAATACCTGGGTTTGTAAACATGAGCATCCTTCTATAGCAGGCAGTAACGAAGTTCTGAACGGCTAGGGAAGGAAAAATATGTACTGCGTTTCAAGTTGGTGCTTACACTGAAGCTTGCAAATGGACTGAAACATGCCGACAAATGCACTTTAATTTTTTGAAATTAAATGCTGGCAGCAAAACTGTTCATATAAGTTGTATTGTACATACTGTGACTGAATATTACTGTTTGCATTTCTCTCAAATTTTGTTCCCACTTTTACACTTTTATATTCCTGCCATGCTGTGTAATAATTTTGATTTTAAAAGTGAAAGAATTGTGTAGAATGTCGCATGATAGCTCTTTTCTATGATTTAAAGCTCAGATAGCTTAGAGATTGGCAAGAATGGTTGACCTTTAGCAGAAATACTGTGTTTAAAGAGTGACAATGTAAGATGATAATGAATATAAAGGATTGTATGTGTTTTAAGCTTGCCACAAAACCCCAAATGAAAAGCAGAGAGAGATTACCAGGATACGGAGTGTTCCTTCCTGTTCCAGCTAGCTTGTCCTTATGGCAGCTATTTTTCTTATTTATCAAAAAGATAGAAGGCTCCTGAAAGACTCCTGTAAAAAGAGGGATTAGAGATTAAGTGTACTGTGCTTTCATAATGCTATTGAAAAGAGCAAAAGAGCAATTTGTAAGTGCAAATAACTTTCAAACCCGGTATCCCCACGTTAATGAGGAGCAAGTCTTTGTTGCAGGTTATTGAAGCCTGAATGCCAATAACCCATCTACAATGCTATTGACTTGCCCACTTAGAAGGGCGCTGAAGTTAAATCTAACTTTGCACGTCCATAGTTGGCAGCAAAGGAGGGATAGAAACATGCCATGAAAGGAACTTCAGCTTTCTGCTGCATTTCTCACCAGTTGTTGAGATTATATATATCAAGCTGTCTTCTTTTGTGCAGTTACATCTGCTGAGGCATAACTTGAATTGCTGTGCAGATGCCACATCGTGGCTTCAGATAAGGAATCTGACCTCGGGTTAACACCGCAGTGGTGCAGAACCTGTAAAATAAAGTAGCTGTGCCCTCTTTCTAAACGCCAGTACTGCCTACCGTGAAGGTTGTGTGAGCTCTAACTTAGAATAAGCTCTGTAAGTAATTGACTGTGAGAATACAACTCTAAAGGACTTTTCAAACCCATCAGGTTGGTGTTGTTTGGCTATATTAAAAATCTGTTTATCGCAAGTGTCAAAATTCTGCTTTTCTGTAGGAGTTAAAGAAACTTGCGCTGCCTCCACAGATCCTACTTCATCAAGTGAACAACCAGACTACTTCATGTGAGTAAAGTAACTATTAAGAGTCCCTTGCAACTCACTGAAGCGGTTGAAAAATCATCTATAAAAACTCTAGTTTAGCTGCAAAATTGAAAATTTACCAAAATGTAATTTTAGAGTAATGACAAGTTCCTTTAATTCACCCAGCTGCCTCATTTGAGTACCGGCAAGTTTTAAACTCTGAGGTTGTCCCTTACTTATTGTGGGGGAAAAGAAATGTTTAAAAAGAATTTTTAATATGCTTTAGAAGAAGACTTAAAATATTTGATTTCACTCTTCTTTCAAGAACACAATAAAAAAGAAATGAATGTGCACTGTTTTCTTTTAAGAGGTGAGGCAATACAGGAGAAAAGCTGAATGCTAAAATACTGAATGTGTAAATTTGAACATCTTTCCTGTGTTTTCATTGCTTAGTGCATCTAAGCTGGAAAGGTGGGGAGAGAAGACAGCAGACTTTGAAGTCCAGCATTGCAAAGCCTATATATGAGCTAACAGGAGTTAACCATCAAAGTTATTTCTAAAGCTTTGATGCAGAATGACCACTGAGTGACTTGAAGCTACTTCAATATATCCAATTTCACCGTTGAACTGCAGACCAAAGAGATAGAGAAAACAGGAAAACATCCATTCAGATTTTAAATTTTAGCTGCTTAATTTTGACTACAAAGCAAGATCAAAACGCATTAAGCTTGCATGTGACATGTTACATAACCACAACGACTGGCATGTTACGGTCTATAAAATTACAGAAGGACATCCCAGTAAGTTTAATTTTAGGTCCTTAACAAGTTGTTACATGTCAGATTAACATTCCCCAAAGTTTAAATTGACCTGCTATATGAAAAAAATTTTCATCCGTTACAACTTTGTGGTAGACATGGACAGCGGGATCGAGTGCGCCCCCAGCAAGTTTGCCGATGACACCTAGCTGTGTGGGGCAGTCGACACACTGGGGGAAAGGGATGCCGTCCAGAGGGACCTGGACAGGCTGGAGAGGTGGGACTCTGCAAACCTGATGACGTTCAACAAGGGCAAGGTCCTGCACATGGGTGGGGGCAGTCCCAAGCACAAACACAGGCTGGGTGGAGAATGGATTGAGAGCAGCCCTGAGGAGAAGGACTTGGAGGTGCTGGTTGATGAGAAGCTCAACATGAGCCGGCAGTGTGTGCTGGCCAACTGCATCCTGGGCTGCATAACAGGAAATGTGGCCAGCACGTCGAGGGAAATGATTCTCCCCCTCTGCTCAACCCCCCATCCCCCTCCCCCGCAATGCTTCATCCAGCTCTGGGGTCCTCAGCACA